GGTCAAAATGTTGGCTTTCCTTGCAGCCCTCCTTTTTCTCTAATTTTGGTCTGCAAACTTAGGTTGCTAACCATCCAGAAGACAAGCTTATTGTTATGGTTTTAAGATAATAATTATAACTTCACAGGTATCACTATAGCTAACATAGTAACTGTGTTTAGAAGGTTCTTAGTACTTGTAGAATGAAAGAGTTTTCTAATCTAACTCTAATATAAATGACTCATTAATTTCTAAGACTATTATTTAATATACATTTTACTCCTCTTTTAATTTTGATGAGCTCAAATATTTCATAAAGTCAGTAGTCTAAGAATCCTGTCAAATATGCTGTTAATTTTAGGCTAACAATCTTATCAGTGAAAATCATGAGCATTTTTTAAGTAGAAAACTTAAAATATGTTCTCATAATGTTATAATTTGTAATATTCATTTATTCCTTCAACATATACTCTGGAGTACTTACTGCATGCTTGTTTAAAGTACTGGAGAAACAACAGGAAACAAAGCAAAATGCATGACCTCTAAAGAATTTTAGCGACATCTATACATGCAAAATAAACAAGTTTAAAATGGAACTTAAAATAATAGTTGTTAAAAAATATAATAGTTGTTTGATTGATTCTAAAAGACTAGTAAAGACACTTAAAATTGTTTGGAGATATCATGGGAGCAGACCTTCAGTGAAAGCAAGCAAAGCACCTGAAATGTAGAAAGATAGATTCTACCAGTATTTATAACTTCTGGTTTTTCTCAGAACATTTTAGACCATCTGTTCTACAACTGTCTAAATGATGAAATGCTGCCTTCTCCAGCTGTCAAGTTGCTGTTCATATGTGTCATACATCATTGTGTGTTGTATCAAAGGACACTCTAGAAGAGAAGTGGAGGGCCCAGAGTTTGTGCCTTTCATCATCTAAAATAATTTACAAAAGAGCAAAACAACATAACAAAGAGAAGCCCATGAGTGTCGCAAGTATTTGAGTCTGCACAGTGATTGGATTTAGTGGGTACTATTTAAAGAAAATGTAAATATACTCATTTATTCAATAATTGTGCATTTATTCTCATGGGTAAATGCTCAGAACTCAACTTGTCCCAAAAAATGTCTTACCTTGAGATGTATCAAAGCAAAATATGCTGACAGTCACTGTCAGGGCATGCTAAGTGTCACATTGATGGAACAGATGTGAAAGGCCAGCATTTTAGAACAAAGTCTTAATATTTATCTTTGTTTGGCAGTTTCCATAGGAGTTTTATTTGTGTCGAGATTACTTATGAGAATCATAGAAAAAGATTGAGCCCAGAAAAACTAAGAGATTCATAAAACCAGGTCAATTGATATTTGGCTTCTTGAATTTCTGGAGGCAGACCTGGTAGGCTTTACTTAATGTGAATTCCTTGCTTGCTGAATAATGCCATGCAGACTTTCCATGTTCATTTTAGGGGAATTTGGGTTACCCTTCTAAACCCCAGATCTATCTGTCAATCTTCTTACTAGTTGTGTCTAACAGGCATCTCAAACTTGGTGTGTCACACTTCTGAAATTCCTGTTTCTCACCATCTTGCCCATTTTTTATCAATGGCAAAGCCAAAAGTCCTTCACACCTTTTTTTATCTCGCACATTCTACTTCTTGCTGCTGAATCCTATATCTCCAAAACATATTCAGAATCTACCATTTCTACGAGCACCCTCACCTCACTTTCTTCAACTTAAATTATTAAAACAGCTTCCTAAATCATCTGTCCTTCCACCTTTGACATTTCTAACTATACCCAATAGTTTAAGTGAATCTGTTAAAACTTATGTCCAGTTATACCACTGCCACTCAAAATTCTCCAATGTCTTCCTTCATTACTTAGCAATTGCTGAAGTCCTTCCTATGTCCTCAGACAGTACATTATCTGGCACTTCTCTGGCCTTATTTTATTTTCTACTCTTCTCTTGTTCTTTTGATACCAGGCACAGAGTTTACTGCATGCTTCTTAACACAATAGGCAAACTCAGAGCCTCTGCACTATTGATTCTCCTTCATAGCATATTTTTCCTGGAGGTAACTTCATAGAAGCTCTTTTATTTAATTTAGATCTTTTGTCAAAAGACACCTACTCACCATGCTTCCCTGACCTTCCTGTGCAAGGTGTCAACTCTTTGCCTGACACATCCCTTGAAATGCTTTATTTCTCCTTTGTCCTGGGAGCAGGGATTTTGTATGCTTTATTCTCTGTTGCATTCAAGAATCCAGAATAGTGCCAGGTGCATATGTGTTCTATAAATATTTGTGAATAAATGTGGAATGAATTTAACTAAATGCTTTGAGAGTTGCCCTGTTGTTTCCACAGCACCTCTGGAGGCTTTTCAACTGTAGGTATTGCTGTGGTTGGGTTGCAGGTGGGGCCAGGGCACAGCCTAGTCTTTTGCTTTGTGGAAGAACCATTGCTATGCCAGTGTGTGAACTTACTCAGAGATGGCATCAGTACTAGTGTGTGAACTAACCAAGGGAATGTGTCAGCCTTTTCAGCTGAAGGTTGTTTGATATTCAGCTACACTGATTGACCATTTCAATCACTTTTGATGTTCTGTTTGTTGTTCTGTTCTTCTTTGTCCAATTTCTTCCTAGCTCTTATCCTTTTTGTTCAGTAGATGTCAGTGGTGGCTGCTTTTAAGAATCACTGGGGGAGATTTAGAAATCCTCACAGGTTCTAATTTAATGTGTCTGGAAGGGGAGAGAAGTGAGACCTAGTCCTTCTGTGTTTTAAAAGCTCCACAAATGATTATAACATGCAAGTTAGGTTTGCAAATCACAGTGCTAAGTAAATTGCTGGGTCTTTGGTGTGTTCATTAATCTATGGTCATATTCTATGCTTCCATCTTTATATGGTTTTGAGTTGCAAAGGTATCTAAAATGTAATGTTGACAATGCTATAGAGTTTGATTTGTACAAGGTGAGGCTGAATTTTGAATACCCCAGCTTCTCAAAAGAATGCAATGATGAACTAAAGAATGCACTTCTGAAAGAGATCTTCACTTACAGATGAATTGTGTGAGCATGAGTTGTTAAGTCAGCCCAATTTAGCCAGTATTTATTGACTATTATACACATAGCTCTTGTTTTAAAAAAATCTTATTTATTCATTTGATACAGGGTCTCACTACACAGCTCAGACTCATAGGCCCACCTGTGTCAGCCTCCCCAGTGCTGGGACTACAGATGTGCATCACCACACCCAGTTTCAGTGGCCAGCACTGCATGCCCAAGGTTCTGGGATGGTATGGCATGCAGTATTTTGGATCGAACTTGGGTCCTTATACTTGCCAGGCAAGCATTTAGAACACTAAACTATCTCTCCAGCCCCTATGCACACAGTTCTTAATGCTGTATTAAAGCTGTGACAATTCCTTGGGGATCAGGAATGGATAGTCTGTCAAGCAACTAGATATTTTTAAGAGAACTACATTACAAAATAATACATACTGTGAAGGGTCAAAATATATTTATCTGATTGTGTGAAATGTAAGAGAGATGGACTGGGAAACATGTAAAAAAAAAAAAAAACCCAAATAGATAGCATCAGGGGATGTTGTCTATGAAGGAGAAATGAGGGTGATTAAATAATTAAGAAGAATTATAATAATAACCACAAATGGAGAGATCTACCAAAACTCTTGGAATAAAAAAGTCTCAATTACTGCAAGTACAAAACAATAATTTGTGTTCCATGCATTACCCAAATCTGCCTTTTGATTAATGTTTTGATTTTGCATAAAGTCAACCACTATGTAGTAAGTAGTCTGCGTCATTGGTGTACCATAGAAACATTCATCTGAAAATAAAAAGTTTGATAGATCAGACACTCTAATAAATAATCTTATGAGTGATGAACCCACTGATCCCTTCAACCAGTCCTTAGAAGCCAGTTACTGCACATAGATGTTCTCTGCCCCCAGGAGTCTGACCTCACCTTCCGATTGGCCAGTGGTCTTGTCATATGGCAGCCGATGTGGGAGCACAGACAGCCTGAAGTCTCCGGCTTCACAGCTCTGGTAAAGCCCATCAGGAACATCATTACAGGTTTGTGACCTATCTATCCTGTGGGATGGTCATGGTGGATCCCTTCTCATGTAGGAATGATGGTGGTGGGATGATTTGCCCTTAAGAAGCTAAGAAGAAAGGGATTGGATCGCTCTGGCAGGTTTTCTAGGTGTCCCAGGTACACGGCTTATAACCATAGAAGCAATAATAAACCAAGGACACGTGCTTTTTGGTTATGTGACTCCAGGTGAGACATTTCAGGGGCCAGCTAGATAGCTCAGCAGACTAAAGTGTCTGCTTAAACAGAGTGAAGGGGCTGGGATTTGATCCTGGGTACCACAAGCCATGCCAGTCCTGCCCCCAGGCACATTGAGACAGGGACTGAGACTGGGCATGGTAGCACGTACCTGTAATCGCAGCCCTTGGGAAGCTGAAAAGAGGTGGATCACTATGAGTCCTATCTATGTAGTGACACCCTGTAGACCTTGTACTAAATACATTAAAAAAATTATAAACATATAAAACATTTCCATGTCTCATGCCTCAGTCCTCAGGTGTATGATGTGATTTACAGTATCAGATGAATAGTACCTATATGACTACTGTGAGGAATAAGTGAGTTAATACATGTGAAAGTTTAGAAGAATGTCTGGCACAGGGTAAGCAGGAGCTATTATAATTATCATCATCACCATCATCATTATAGATGGAGTAGAGATTCCTTCACAATCTCATCTTAGTATTTTATTGTATCAAAGTATTTCATTTCAGGAATTGTCCAGGGAGATCATCTTACTGTTAAGTTAGAGAACAAACATAGCATGATTCCAAAGCTCACAAGTGGTTCCCACAACATTTGTACTCACGTATGTCTCCTGCTGTGGGGATGCAGCCTAACTCTCTTGCGTATTTCCGTCATCTAGAAGAGATGTACATCTTTGTTGTAGTAGGCAGAGAACGCATCCCAAGTGTACATTATAGTAAGTGCCTTATGAATTCCATCCTTCTGTTTGCAGACTTTTCAACACAACAATAAAGTTTTAAAAGACATGGAAAATCTGTAGATGTATATACACAAATATATCTTAAAAGTTTGGGGACTGGGGAGATGGCTCAGTACAGTAAGTGCTTGCCTGGCAAGTGCAAGGTCCTGAGTTTGATCCCTGGCACAAAAAAAAAAAAAAAGTCTTGTAACATTTTCGGGCTAGGGAGATGGCTCAGTAGAATAAGCACTTCCCTGGTAAGTGCAAAGGCCTGAATTCAGTCCCTGGTTCCACAAAAAAAAAAAAAAAAAGTTAGACGTACACTCACACACACACACACACACACACACACACAGAATTTACTTACATATGTAAGATTTTTCTGTGTAGACAATAGAGGGTTATGCATATAAAAGGGCTCTATAAATGGAAGAAAACTATAAGCAAGTTTTTATATACTTTTCCTCTAACACAATCACATGACATGTATTATGCCAAGGAATTATGTAACCAAGGAGTGCCATATTATTTATGTATTTAATAAGATGCTTTTAGTGACAATATAGCTATTTCGAAAGGCAAATGGCATAGCAAAAATACATTAATGACACTGTTTGCACATTTAGAACAATAATTCTTGAAATATATCAAACAATTAAGAATGATGCTCTGTCAGTTAACAAATATTAAGCTCTACATGGGGAAAGGTGTCCTAGCCAAAAATCTACTTCCGATTCTGTGATAGAAGGGATAATCACTTTGGATTCAAACAGGTGAACAGTTAAGTATAGGACAGATATAAGACTTTAAAAAAACTAGAAATAATATAAATCTATAGGAGAAAAAAATAAGTGTAATAAAAATTAGTCAAAAGGCCATATATGATGAACAATCATTATATATTGGTCAAGGAAATTTAATTTTAAATTTTTTTTGTCTCTCTGTACTTTCCTATATGTGTAGGGCAACAGTCACTTCAAAATCGGTGCTCACTCTCCCCCGTCCCCTCCCTCTTTCTCTCTTTCCCTCTCTCAGAGGTAGAGACAAAGCACAGGGCTTTCACATGCTAGGGAAGTACTCTACCACTGAGCTACACCCATAGCACATGCTCTCTCTTTCTCTTGGTCTCAGTCTCTGTCTCTGTCTGTCTGTCTGTCTGTCTGTCTGTCCCACACACAAACACATACACACACACACACACACACACACACACATAACTCATTTAACACAGATACAAAAACCTGTAAGAGACCATGTCTGTCTGCGCAAGCACCTGCACTAGTCACCTCAGCCTCTCCTGGCTTGGAGTGATACTCAGAACTGGTTTCTTTCCCCTGTACCTGTTCCCTGAAATGATGCCCAGCATCTGAGGGGGACTTGGTCTCAGCCTAGACAGCATGTCCAGAAAAAACAATGCCACATGATAGCCTCGGAAATTCCTTGCCTCCTCAGCACCCCTTTACTCACCATTTGCGTGAGGCTTTGGCCCCCTAGCCCCCCACAGTTCCTGATCCCAAGGTACATTTGTAACTGGCTGGACTCTTAGTTGAAGGACAGCTTAAAGTGTTGTTTGAAATAGACTACAGAGTCACACAGCCTGGACTGAGATCGTCATGTAACTGGTAAGTGAGCTTGGGCAAGTTAAACACCTTATACCTTAATTTCTTCATTTGTGAAGTGAGTACAATAATCTTTCAGTATTATAGAGTCATTGAGAGGCTTGTTTTAATATATATAGATGCTTAGGAGAGGACTTGGTGTGTAACAGTTTACTTTTAGCATCACCCACTGCTTGGCACCTTGACCTACTGAACCATACTAAAGAACTCATTATCTACACTGATAAACTGGATATATTAAGATTTTTGAATTAGGGCCAGCTAGATAGCTCAGTAAACTAAAGCACCTGCTTAGGCAGGTGCAGTGACCAGGGTTCTATCCCCGGCCTGCCCTGCTGGCCCTGTCCCTGGGGCGCACTGAGACATGATTAAGACTGGACTTGGTGGAGCATGCCTGTAATCCCAGCACTTAGGAGGCTGAAAACAGCAAGATCACTACGAGTCCAATCTTTGTAGTGAGACCCTGTACTAAATACATTAATTTTTTCCTTAATTTTTTTGAGAAATAAATAACAATGAGACAGTTTAAAATCAAATTGGTAGTACAGTTCCAATAATTAACATATTGCCTACTACCTTCCTAGTGGTTATTTGTTGTACAAAATGCAGACATGATATCTCATTTACAAACACTATTAGAACAAATCCCTCTATTCCTTGAATTAAGAGAATGCAGCTATATATCTATCCTAATCATTTTGAATACACAGATACAAAACGGTCATTCATCTATATCCCCCTTTTTTGTTTAGTTCCATCATTTAAATTTTATAGGTGTGTGAACTCAGCAAAATATTGCAAAAGAGTCCAGTAGTCTATAATAGTATTGGGTCTTCCACTTGACTGGCAATGTCAGAAGTTGTTGACCTGAGTCCTCTACAGCTCAACATAACAACATGGCTTTATTTCTTATACTTCATTTTTATACTTTTCTGCTGGATGGCTAAGACCAAGATAAAGCACAATCTATGTACTAAGAATTGTAGCTTTTGTATCTGATAAACTCAGTCAAATCCCCTTAGGATTTATCCTGAGACCCTGTACCTCAGTTTGCAGATCCTTTGTCAGTGTCAGCCATGTGGATGAGTCACGGCCATTGCTTGGCCAATGTGCTCTCTGTGAAGGCCTGAGAGAATGTTTTCTCTCCATGTGAC